TCTTTGAGTGAATGCTCGGACTTGAGATGCTGAACCCTAAGCCTTAAATCCAAAGCCCCTACACCTCCAAACTCTGATCTCAAACCCTGAAGCCTAAACCCGAAACCCTAAACCCTAAATTTGAAACCCTTGAACCCTAAACCGTAAACCCAAACCCCCTAAACCCTGAACCCTAAACCCTAAATCCGAAATCCCTAAACCCTAAATCCAAACCTTTAAATCCAAAACGCTAAACCCTACATCCAAAATCTTGAAACACTAAGCCCTCAATCCAAGACCCCTGAACCTTTACACCCCCAACTCGAAAACCCCTAAACCCTAAACCCTAATTCCTAAATCCAAAATCCCTAAACCCTAAACCCTAATTCCTAAATCCAAAATCCCTAAACCCTAAACCCTAAATCAAAAAGCTCCCAACTCTAAACCTTAAATCCAAAACCCCAAAGCCCTAAACCGTAAATCCAAACCCGCTAGATCCTAAACCTTAAATCCAAAACCCTTACACCCTCAAACTCGGATGGGGGGGTCCTGGTCGTGAACCGCAGAAGTGTCGTCGCTTTTGGACTCGCGTTGGGTCTTCGCGTCTCAAAACTGTCAACAGTCATAGGAATGGAGGGGGTCCTGGTCGCGAAACGCAGAACTGTCGGCACTTTTGGACTTGCGTTTGATCTGCACATCCCAAAAGTGTCAAGTCCTCATCATGAAACGCAGAAATGGTTTCACTTTTGATCTTGTGACTGTTGACATTTTTGGTAGTCACGTCTCCAAAAGTGTCAGTCACAGGGATCGGGGGCCTTGTGTGCGGCTTAGATGGCCAGAGCGTGCGTGCGGCTCATTTTTTTGAGGCCTTGCGCCTTAGATTGCCCTTCCCCAAGCGGCGGTCGACGCGACCTTCGTAAACCCTGTGTCGCGCGATGGCTCTGAACGCGCGGGGGCCGATCGCGTCCTTGGTACAGCCGCTGGCGATGTGGGGCGACGCAAGCGGCAGGCAAAGCTACTTACCCTGAGCTCTTGGCGGCTCGATGTTGCCAGCTGGCGGCCGTTTCGGCGCCGAGTTGGCGGGCTTCCTCCGCTTGGCGGCCTCGAAGGCCCCAGCTCCTGTCAGCGCGTCTAGCGGCAGCTAGGCGGGAATGCCGCGGCTGTGGCCGCCCAGCGAGCCTTGGCCTGGTTATTTTTGGAGCTCCCTTTTGATATGGCGGACGAGTGCGATGGCACCGAGCCGCCTTTGGCTGAAGTGTTGGCGGATGCTCGCCACCTTGCCAGTGATGGCCAGCCGCCTGCCAGCCCGCCCATGAGGTTGAGGCGGCGACGCGGGCGGAACCGTAGGTTCCTAGTTGACTGTTGTTGGTGTCACTTGGCCGAATTAGCTGTGAAACAATGCATTTGTTGGTGGGTGGTTTTGTCTTGAAGTACATGACAACCCGAAAACCACCCAAAAACCTTGGATGTCTAAACCCTGACAGCCCTGAACCATAAAAGCTCTAAACCCTACAAATCCTCAACCCTGAGCACCCTAAACACTACAAGCAGCCCTAAAACCAAAAAAATCCTGAAAACCCTAAGCGCCTTAAACTCTAATCCCTGAACACTTGAAGCCAAAAAACCATAAACCCTTCAACCACCCAAAGAACTGTAAACCCTAAACCCTCCAAATTTCAATCCCTGGAGTGTAAACATCTTGAAGCCCTAATCCTTAAAGACCCAAGGACCGTTCCGCGACTAAACCCTAAAGACCCCGTCCCCTAAAGACCCCCCTCAACTTAAAACCCTAAAGATCCCAAACCCCAAAGAATCCCAAACATCTTTAACTAAACCCAAAACACCATCCTAATCCCAAAGCTGCTGAACACCAAATACGCTAAATCATAAAAGCCTCAAGCCTAAGAACTCCAAACCTTAAAAAATCCCAGAACGTCCTAAAAACCTTAAACCCCGAATCTTAGAAACCCGAAGAAGCCTAAAGCAGAAGCTTATAAAGCTTAAAGCCCCAAGAATTAAACAGGTAAAAGCACAGTAACTCATCCAAACCCTAAACCCTTTCAACGCCAAACGCTTAAACAGCTAACGTACTGAACCCTAAAACTTTCTACCGTGGACAAGTCACAAATAATACGAAACCTCTTAGACTCTAAGCCCAAACAACGCCCCCAAGATCCCTTAACCCTAAACAACCCTACGCCCTGAACCATGAGAATCCTTTCGCACCCGTCCCTAGTGCTTTCTGTTTTCCCGTCCCAGGTGATCTGGTTTTTCTCGCTCTAAGGGCGTTGTGGCCCGCTACGATGGCCGGCATGGCTGCACGTCAACACCATACACAGACTTCAAGCTTTCGTCCGTGCTGCTCTCAAGTGTATGTTTTTGAGTCCAAGCTGTCAGTTTCCTCTCCACAAGGATTGTGCAAAGTGCGCCAGCCGGCACTCCACTGATAACATGGTGTATAGGAAAAAAAACATTGGCAGTTGTGCAGGATGTGCCAATGACCATATTTGATTAAGACGTGGCATGATGTTTTGAAGCCACCGCGCCGAACCCCATACCCATGCTGTTCCATTGCGCAGCTTGAGCCCGCAGACCTGCATGCAGGTGGCCGTGCGCAGGTAGCCGCAGGGCCCCATCCTTATATCATCCTATAATATGCAAACTCCACAGCAAGTGTCAGATACCCTTTTGTTCGGTCGTTCAATCACTCGGCCATTGACTCGCGCGCGACTAGAAATTGTTAAGATGAGTTATCCAAGACGAGGTTATGCAATGCATGCACACAAGCTTCTTTGGCGTCTCTGTTGACTGCAGTTACGGGTACACCTATGGGGAGACAACGAAGGCATTACACCAACGTGTGTTCATGATTCTCCAACACAGCAGAGTGGGCCAGCACGTGTGTTGCCTGAAGCGTTTTGGCTTACATAGATGGTAAAGGAAATCATCGAAGGTCATTGCACACACTGGTGAGTGGATGTTTGATTCGGACCATTTCTGAGCAGCATGCGCGATTTGCGTTTTGCTGTGGATGCGTCATGGGTCATGTCATTGTGGTTTTCATATGCAAGAGCGTGTTGATCTGTACCTTTTGAGTCCGCAAAGCTGCGAGAGTCGCCTCTTGTCCTTGCATCTGTTGTCCTCGCATTTTGTTCTCCCGGGCTTGTCTGATCTCAGCGCTTACATACGCAAACAAGATGTATGTAGGGGGTGTACTTCAATTTATGAAATATTGTCCCCAGTGATAGGATGTTTACAAGAGTGGACGCGTTGCTCGCCCCTGAGAGTTCAGGCGCCCCATCTCGTAGTTTCGTTGTGTCAGGATATCAAGCAAGATTTCTCGACAAACAAACTGCTTGCAGGTCTTGTGGTTTGCTGCCATGAAAGAGCCGGCGCAATAAACAACGTCGCTGAGATTTGCGTGTGTGAGAAGCGAACGAACCAACATCAATTACAGGTCACTGGCCACTTGCTTGTACTGCAATGTGTGACATGCAGTGCTTCGCGATAACATGAGGAACCAATTTTTATGAGAAGGGTTTGCTTGGACGCTGACCGTTTGGCTACAGCTTGTGCAGCCACCGCGCGGATGGTGGGCGCCTTAGGAGCGTTTGCGGCACGGCTGTGGCCTGCGGGTCAGTCACCGACTCGCGCTCCTTAGATGAAATTCAGACATGCCTTCAGAAAGTTGCAAAATGACACCCCAGCGTCACAGCCATCACTTCATGCTTTGAAGTTGTTTGCACTACAAGCCGAGGAATGTCGTCACCGCCTTCAGACGTGAAGCTGACCTTAGAACGAACCAGCTCCACGTTGCTGCAACAAATAGAGGTGCTTGCTGATGTGTTTTCGTCGGGTAGTCTGGTAAGAATGCGGTTGATGCGTGCTGAACATGGAAATTAGATGTTTCGTGGCGGGAGGCTCTAGAGAAGAGGACTTCCGAATTGAAGAGAAGTCGCGAAGCTTTGGAGGCATCCCACAAGAAGCAGCTCGAGAGTAAGGATGATGTAGAAGAGCTGGCAGAGCTGGCAGAGGACACGGCGAAGACGCAGAATGCGGATGACCCGCCAGCTAAGCCAGACGAGGAGGAAGATAGAAACAAGCTTCCACAAGTACTTGGCGACGAGAGCAAGCAAGCTATTTTGGTTGATCCCCGCCGGTGGGCACGCGAGCGCTTGGCAACTGCTCTACGGGAACAGGGTGAGGAGTTAGAGCAGAATTTCAAGCCCAGAGCTTCTCTTGCTTCTGGCGGCGCAGCTGCCGCTCAGAAGCCGCCAGTAAGTTCATCAGAAATGCAAGCAACAGCCATCCCAACTCCCACCACAGTTCCGCCGAAAATGAATGCGATTGGAGGTTTCTGTCTCAGTTGATCAACTTTCACAATTGCCAACATGAAAGAATCTGATACAGGGCTCGCCAAATGCAGCATGCATACATTATATTGCCGAGCTGAGGTGATACGGATACAAACGCGTTTATCGCCAAGGCGAATGCGGCAAATGCCCCTGGAACATTGGCAAAAGCCAGTAGTGCCGGCGGTATGATGAAGGGCAGCATGCCCAATCCCAGCAGCATGGGTGCTGTGGCGAAAGGTGCACCTCCACTAGGTGCCCCACTGTCCATGCCAACATCGCCTGGACTCCCCATGGCCGCTTTTTCCGAGCCAATTAGAAGTTTGCGGTTTCAGGTTTTTGTGCCTTCCCAGTTGTCTGCCACGATGTGAACACTGTAATCCCTATCTGACTTACGGAACGTTGCCTGCCTTGAACTTGGTGCTGAGGCGAAGCTGCCAACGCCTTGCGGGCCTGGGCCGAATGGTGCCGTTTTGCCCAAACTGCCTGGCGTACCCGGGCTTGACCTTGGGTGTGGCGGGCCATCCCTGCCATGCATGGGTGGCTGCATGGGTGTGGCTGGTGGTAGCATTGGCATGCCACCATCTCTCAGTAACTTGGGTGGTGGTATGTGTCCCACTGGACCTGCTGGCCCCAGCCTAGGATCAACCAGCGGGGGCAACCCTGATGGTGAAGGCGACGATATGCAGCAGCAAATGATGCTGCAGATGCAAATGCAAATGCAAATGATGATGATGGGCGCCATGATGGGGTCCATGCTAGGTGAGAATGATGATAAAAAGAAAGGCAAAAAGAGGAAGAAGGACAAAACAAATGATGTGAATGATGCAGACGATCTACCCCCTGGCCCTTCCAGCGACATGAGTCACCCGAGCTACAGACCGCCCGACATGGAGCAGATACCTGGCATTACGGACAGGAGATTCGAAGGTCGAATTACAATGTGGTTCGAGGCTGGGCAGTGGGCGACGCGTTTACATTTAGAAATTCCAGGCTGTTTGAAGCAAGGTGATGTTGCTTGAAGGCAAGCTAATTGGCCAGCAGTTTCTTTGCCACTCCTTGCTCATTGCCGCACGCAGGACAAGGGCTATGGCTTCATTGGAAATGACGACCTCAAGCAGAAATTCAACGGCATGGACGTTTTCTTGCATGCAAACCAGAAGCGGCATTTCAACCAAGGTGACCAGGTGGTGTTTAGCGTCTTCAAAAATTATCGAGGTCAGCCTCAGGCAACCGAGCTAAGAGCAGGCAGAGCCTCCCTCGGATAGGGACCACTACTGTTCGCGTCTCGTAGGCACGCATGATGCGCGCCTGGAGATGAGCCGAGGTGGCTGACAGGTTCCAGCTGAACATAGCTGAATACAATCATATCGATAAGGTGGTGTCATAAATCAAGGTGATGTCACAGGGGCTGCCACCTCAAAAAATGAGAAAAAGACTTTGGCAAGGCTTTCTTGCCTGCTTTACACAGTCTCCGCATTCTTGCCAAGCGTGGAAAGCATGATTTGCCAGCGTGCCTCAGGAAGCTAGCCGTGTTGATGCGGTGCGCATGCCTTGCAGCATCAGGAGTGGGAATGACTGGCTCAGGCACGGGCTGTTGTAGCTTGCAGCACAATCGATTCAATGGCGTCAACTGTCGTATGGGAAGCATGCGTTGAATAACTTTGAGGTGTGTGCATTGCGGACCGCCGTAACATAATGTAGTTGTGTGGTATTTCTATTGCATCAGAGAGCGATGGCACGGGATGTTCACTCCTCGTGAAACTCTTCGTGGCAATCTTCGCGGCACTGTTCGCCCCACTACTCGTGCCACTGTTCGTGGCACACGTGCACAATCAGAGCAAGCCCTACACCCTCGCTTGCGCAAGGTTTGCTTGCAAGAGCTCTACCTATAGCTTTCTCCCAGTATACATGAGCACCACGAAGCCTGATGATGCGGGGACGGAACTGGACATGGCAAGTGCTGATGCCATAGCCGCTGGTCATTCTCCTCGTTCTGCTCGCGCTCCCGGCAGATGGGCCTCACGCGTTCTTGGTTTTCGGCCTGATGCGAGGGCAAAAGGGGGCAAGAATGGCAATCAAGTCCTTGCAGCAATCAGCAAGGTGGGAGGCACAGATTCAGAGGCGAAGCAATCTACCTACATTGCACGGCTTCGCAACAAGGTGGGCGGAAGAAGCTGGCATCATGATAGTCGCGGCGATCTGAAATTTCAGGACCTTGCCAGCGTGATGGCACACGACTTCGTGGATGTAGCCCAAAACTTAGGGCTATCCGCCGATCCAGTAGTGCAAGAGATTGGTGAAGAGAGCTTGTTGAAGCTTAAAAAGTCTGGCAACCTAGATTCCCACGATGACAACGTCATAGCTGCCTTCAAGAAGCACAAGGCAACAATTGGGAAATCTCTTTTCGAGGCTGAGAATACCAATAACTGGGGGGTGGAGATGTACCTCCTGGGAGATTATCATACCGCCTTTGACTACTTCAGCCAGGCCTTGAAGCTTACGTCCGAGAAAAAGAAATCAGCTGCGGCAGAGCTTGCTGTGTTGAAAGCGTTCATCAATGAGAGGTATGACGGCAGTGAAGAGATGCTATACACCGAGCTTGTGCGAGGCGAGTGGCGCTCAGCTTTGGGGCACAAAAAGTTTGTCGAAGCCCTGTCGCGATTGGAATATCCTGGAGATGCTGATCGTGTCTTTACCATGCTTGATAGCGTGGCCAACGATGGCAAAGTCTCACTTCCCGAGCTTACCTCTACCCTGAAGGCCAAGACAGTTCGGTTGAATAGTATGGACCGTGAGCCGATTCAGAAAGGCATTGTTCTTTCTAACTTGGCATGCTGCTCCTTGCAGCGCGGTGACGTCATGTCTGCTCTGCAGAGTTTTAGGGAATCCCTCCGAATCGTTCGCCTCGCGGCTGGCAAAAAGAGGGACTCTGACGACAATGTTGTCACAATAATGACGAACATCGCTATTGCTTACATTCATTTGGGTGACACAGATGCGGCGTTGCACACCTTGAGTGTGGTTCTGGAAAGACGTGAGATGTCCCAGGGCAGATTGCATGAAGATGCCTTGGCCATTCTGCACTTGGTCGGCTATGCTTTCTTGGTGAAGGCAAACCGCTTTCAGATTTTGGGTGATCGCCAGCGAATGGACAACAGGAAGCAAGACAATCCTCTGCTTGTGAACTATCACTTTGCTCTGTGTGCGTTCAAGGAGCGTCTTCTACGCCAACAAACAAGCCTGAGTAAAATGCCAGCCTTGGACAGCGTCTTGTGTGATGTAGGTGCAAGGCACCAGTTGGAGCTACACATTGCGCGCAGCCATGAGGTTATAGCTGAAATTCATGATAAATGCGAGGATCTGGACCGCGCACGGGATCATCTTTCGGCCTCTCTTCAATACAAAAAAGAAATCCTCGATGCAGCAGACCCGGATTTGTTCTCCACACTGAACATGTATGCGGGAGTGTGTGCCAGATCTGGCAGGGACAAGGAGGCCTTGGAATCCATGAGCTTGGCCATGCGAGCGAGTGAGGAGCTCTTTGGTTACAAGTCTTCTGCAGTGGCCACACAGCTGTTCCATTTGGGGCTTCTCCACCTGCGGATTGCATTTGGTGCAACAGCCCCACGAGTGAAGGATGTTTTGCAGAAGTCCATCGAACAGCTGCAGCAGTGCTTGAGCCTTCGCAGCGAGTTATTCGGTCTGGAATCTGAAGAGGTTGCAGCAACTGCGCACTTGCTGGGGAGTGTATATTTCGCTGCTGGTGACGTCCAGCAAGCGCGCCGAAGCTACGAGAAGGCTCTCCTGATTCGCGTCTCTCTGGCCAGCAACGATGCGACGATTGCATGCTCTGCTCACGCGTTGGGTTCTCTGTGCATTCGCTGTCCTCGTCGCCTCAATGACGGCGTGGTGCTGCTGCAGAAGGCAGCTGCAATCCGCAGGAGGCAGCTAGGTGAAGACAGCCTGTACCTAGCGGATACACTGCATGAGTTAGGCTCCGCTCTTCTTCTCAGGCAGAGTGGTAGCGACGGGAATGATGCACTTGCATATTTGTCCCAAGCGGCAGCAATCAGGGAGGGAACGCTTGGCAAGAAGAACGTCTTGTATGCTGCTTCCTTGCACCAGTTAGGCCAAGCACACTTGATTTTGGCCTTGCCATCGGAGGCAAAGCGTTACCTGCAAGCTTCCTTAGGGTTGCGCGAGAGGCTTGTCGGAAAACACAGCGCGCAGGCTGCATCCAGTCGAGCAGCATTCGGTGTGGCTTCTGCAAATGAGGGGGACTTTGACACAGCAATGGTGTCCCTAAAAATGGCATACAGAGATCGAGAAAAGATTCTTGGTCAGATGCATCCGCTGTCAGCAGACAATCTATACCAGCTGAGCTTGGTGTTGATGCGCAAAGGAGATGTTGAACAGGCCTTGGCAGCGCTGACTCAATGTTTGCAAGTCTTCTCCAGCTTGAATGATGCGGACGTGAAGGCAAGAATGGCAGAGGGTGACGAAGAGCTAGACGCGCAGAAGATTTCAGAGCGAACTCGGAGAGTTCAAGCAAAGCGTGCGCGCAGGGGGCACGCCGAGGTTGAGCAGACCGGCTTGGACTCTAAGGCACCTCGGCAAAGCATGGCGGGGCAGTGGCTTGCAAAGGTGAAGTCCAAGTTTCAGAGTACTACGACTTCGAGCACGAAAGAGGCTGCTGGTATCTCTGCCTACGCAGGAGACGCTGAAGTGTCAGGATTTCCTCCAGATGATGAGGTCTGTATTGAAGATACTGGCGTGGATATCCGTGGCTGTCACGCTCCAAAGCTTGCGTTGCTGATGCAGACGCTAGCATCCGTGCATATGGAAATGAGAGAGTTTAGCAAGAGCAGGCACTGGCTCGATCGCTCAGGATGCATTAGGGAAGAGATCTTCGGAGTTGTCAGTAAGGAGGTGGGCGAAACTATGCATCAGTTCGGGCTTTTATTTAGATTGTGCCACAAACCTTCTACTGCCCTCTTATATTTTCGAAAAGCTTTGAATGCACGTGAGCGAGCCTGCGGTTTTGCTGATGCAGCTACTGCCGAGACTTGCGAGCAGCTGGCTGAAATTCTTCATGAGCTGGGAAACGCCGATGAGGCAAGTATTTTCATGAGCAAGGCGCTTGCAATCAAGGAGCAACTTCCGTCTGTCACAGCACCTGAAATTGCAAAAGCCAGGGAGAAGTGGAACGGCTTGGCTGCGGCAGGCATGGAGTACGACCCCGTGCAAATGGGCGAGGCGCTGCCCCACATATCTCGACGAAGCGCTGAATCGTATTTGCATGGATGGAAAGACAGAGGAAAGGGGAGTCAAAAAACTTGCATTGGGAAATCTTGGAAGCTGCCCCGCACGAAAGATTTTCTAAGGACTTGCATTTACTTTGCCATGACTTGTCTTGCCGCTGAGCATGCTGCGGTCCCGGACCAAGACTTCATGAACAAATTTGAATCACATTGGGGGTGAAGGTTTAGGAGATGCGAGGTTTGGTGGGGCCAAGCTCAAGCTCCAATACCCTACACCTTATAATCGGCAGCAGCAACAGCTTTTGCAGTTGCTAGGGGCAATGAGGCTTAAGCAAATTCGTTCCCTGGAGGTTTGTGCGACAAGACATCGAAAACTGATTTACCGATCCAGAAAACCATCTCAGGAAATCGAAAGCATAACAAAACATTATAAATTCAGCCTTCCGCTGCATCAAAGAAGATGTGACAAGCACCCGAACCATCGAAAAAGGATCTCAAAACGAGAGCCCGTTTTCTGGTACCGGCATTGAAAAACCACCCGAAGCAGGTATTGGGGGGTGCTGGAAGGGGTTGGCGCTTTAGGCAGGCAGGAGGACGGGGACTGGGAAAATCTGGAACAACGTAGCTGCCCACACCAAAACCTTTGGTAGGTCGGTTTGCTTTCGAAACTTGAGGGCGCGCGCGAGCCATAGCTCTGTAAGGGGGGTGAAAAGAGGGGGGTTCGGGAAGGGTTGCAGAAGTAGGTTCTGGGCCATTCACTTATTGTTTGTACCGGTCGTCGTTAAGTTACGGCTGTAATTTCTTTATCCCCGTCAATGTTTGTTTGCGACACTAAACCAGCTCGCTACTACCAGCCAGATTTGAACCTGTCTGCGATGCATCGCTTGTTCCGCAGCATCTTGGGTTCAAAGAGGATGCACAGAAACCCAACTCTTTGTAAAGTGTTTGCTTATCAGGCCTGGCATGGAAGAGTGCCAGCTGCACGATGATTGGTCGCGCCAATG